TGAACATAGGTTCCTATTCTCAGTTAGAAGGAGGAAGGAAGGAGGGAAGGAAGGAAAGAAAGAAAGAAAGAAAGAAAGAAAGAAAGAAAGAAAGAAAGAAAGAAAGAAAGAAAGAAAGAAAGAAAGAAAGAAAGAAAGAAAGGAAGGAAGGAAGGAAGGAAGGAAGGAAGGAAGGAAGGAAGGAAGGAAGGAAGGAAGGAAGAAGGAAAGAAAGAAAGAAAGAAAGAAAGAAAGAAAGAAAGAAAGAAAGAAAGAAAGAAAGAAAGAAAGAAAGAAAGAAAGAAAGGAAGAAAGGAAGAAAAGAAAGAGAGGAAGAAAGAAAGAAAAGAAAGAGAGGAAGATTTAAGAAGGGCTTTCAGGGATGAGATGCTAGAGGCTAAGAATATAATGATAGTAACAACACAGAGCCTGCTCTCAAGTAAATCTTCAATATACCACATACAGGATACGTGACATGCACAGCCATATTCTAGGGTCCATGATTTCATTTTTGTGGGTTTTCTTTCTACTCCTGTAGATCACTGCCCCTATAAACCTTGATAGGCAAGTCTAACAGGTTAGTATGACCACTCCAATTCATGCTCTACTGAACAACCCTCTGGTGATGAGTTTCTCTGCATCCAGTCCATTACAAGTACTACTCTCAAGGCCTTTTCAGCTTTTATCATCTATGTATCTTAGACTCTCTAGTTTCCTTCAAAGCTCAGCTCAAGCATCACCTTCTACATGAAGCCTTTCCTGATCTCTCCCTTGCTGCTACTGCCTTCCCGTCACAATCAAAATCTATTTTATTTATGCCTGGATGTGTACATGTCTCTCCCAGATTGACCACCAGCTCCTTGGTGGCAGGAATTGTTTTGCTTTTGTCATTGTATGACCAGAATTTAGTACAATGACTGGCACTTAGTAAATGCTTGATTGATTGGCTGGACCTGGCAGGTCTTGAGCTCCACTGCCATAACCTTCAAGAATAGGAGTCTCAGGGGGCAGCTAGGTGGCACAGTGGAGTCAAGAGGACCTGAGTTCAAATTTGGTCTCAGACACATAACACTCACTAGCTGTGTGACTGAGCAAGTCACTTAACCCCACTGCCTAACCAAAAAAAATAAAAAATGAAAATTTAAAAATTAAAAAAAATTAAAGAATCTGCCTCAACATAAGAATAGTCAAGGATCTTCTCTCAAGCCATACTCAAAGACAGAGGATGAATGAAGGCTCTGAAGGACCTTCTGACTAGACTCCCTCCAAAACTGAGAGCCCTGACCACTTCTACATAAGGCAGAAAATCCTTCTCTTCTCCCCAAACATGCAGACCCTCTCCAGCAGGTCTGCTGATTCCCTAAACTATTCCTAAATTTTCCAATAACATCCCTCCCCAACTTGATTCTGGCAGCCACTCTTGGCCATTCTTCCTAGTTAAGGTATTTACCTATACCAGACTTTCCAGGCTTAGAGTAAGGCGAGCTAGAAAGAAGTGAGGCAGAAAGATCTCTTTGGAGAATGAACAGGAATCACGTAAGGATTATAGGATTTGGAGCTGGTGGGAACCTTAGAAACCAATCCCATTGTTGGACATATGTTGAAAAGTGAGTCTTCAAAAGTGAACAAGATATAGCTATCAAGTAAGTAGCAGAGACAGGATTTGAACCCAGGGCCTCTGACTTTCAATCCTGTGCTCTATATTTTCATTATACCACAGCACTCTAGAGCCTAAACATCTAGATCTCCCCGTGCTAAGCTCCAAGCTTCAGGACTTTGGCACTGAACAGGGGAGAGTGTATAGTTAAACTCTTTCTCTTATCTCTCTCTTAAGCCTTTTTTGGCTTACATCCCATTGGAGACCCTAACTCGGATATTTCTCCACAGAGAATGGGACCTCTTGGCTGAAACAGATCATTCCAGCTGCAAAGTGAACTCCTCCAGTCCCCATTCTCCACCCTCTCCCTCCCCTCCCCACAAAGCCTGGGGTTCCTTCCAGTAATGCTATAATTGGGTGGGATTTTCAGAGAGACAGAGGGAAAGTCCACAGGATGAGCCTTCTGGCTCCTCCCCCACCCTCCTCTCTGTGGGGTGGGGGCAGAGGTGACTCAAATACAAAATAATAACTTAATGAAGGAGGTCGTTTGCTGCAATGGAAAACACTAGACTAAAAGACAAAAGACCTGAGTTTGGACCCCAGCTCACAGCCCACAAGCTGTGTAACCTCAGACAACAATAATTCCCAATTCTGAGCATTCCAAGATTGACAAACGACTTTTCTCTTGACTGAAGTGCAAAAGGGAAGACCCCTTGCTCAAGGTCATATACACTGGCCATGGTGGAGCCAGGATCCATACCCAATGTCCTGATTCCAGAACCATGCTTCCTGAAGTCCCATCTCTCTGGGCCTCAGTTTCCTTCTCTGTAAAATAAAAGACATAGACTAGATGATCTCCAAGGCATCTTCGAGCTAGGACACCCTATGTTCTAAGTTCCCTTCTGGTGATTCAGTTAATTCTACTGTGTCTAAAGTAGTGCCAGTTTTGGGGGGGAGACAGTGCTGATTTAAATAGAAGAGGGAAGGATGCCCTTATTTGTCAGGGGAGAGCCATACAAACTTCCTGAATGATCTACTCACTGATAAGCACACAGAGTGTCAGAGGCGGAAGGGATCTAAAAGATCTTAGAGGTGAACAATTTAACTCAAAACCTCTCATTTTATAAAGGAGAGAAAGTGACTTGCTCAAGGTCACATCATACAAAGGAATGTAGGGATTGGGAAACAGAACTCAGGTGTCTATCCTGGGGCTGAATCAGAAGAAATTGGCTTAGGTTAAACTCCACTTTCCTCTTCACTCCCTATTGCCACCCCCCCCCAAAATAAACCAGTGAACTTATTTAAGGCCATCCTCTCTCTCTCTTTCCAACAGGGCCTTACTGTCCCTGCAGAGGGAAAGAGGAGGGGAGGGAAGAGTTAGCAAAGATCATGTGATCAAGTCCCTATCTGGGAAGGGGAATTTAATGCTTCATTTTGCTAGGGGGCCTTAAGGACCTCTGGGACCATACTTTCCAAATTGCAGCATTATCTTCTCTCTCTCTCTCTCTCTCTCTCTCTCTCTCTCTCTCTCTCTCTCTCTCTCTCTCTGTCCCCTACCTCCTATAACTCTGGAAGTAAAAGGCAGTCAGGAATAGTAGAAAATCCCCGTACTGGGAATCAGGAGACCTAGCTTCAGGTCCTTTTCTCCACTATGTGACCTTGGACAAGTCCTTTCCCTTCTCTGGGCCTGGGGAGAGGGGGGAGCCAGAGGCATGAAGAAGACTGGAGCTTGATAGTCTCTACTGTCTTTTTTCCAGCTGCAATAGGACAAACAAACAAACAAACACAGTGACTAACAGCAGGGAGCTGAAGATGTGGCCCAGAGAGAATCCTGAGGGCTGACGTCCCAGGAGGAAGTATGGGGGTAGGAGTGAGCTGAGTTGACCTAACAGCTCTGGAGAGACAGATTTCAAGGGTCATATCATTTAGAACCAGACAAAACCCATTTTACAGATGAGGAAACTAAGGCCAAATTGGAGACACAGCTTGCCAGGGACACCAGTATTCTAGCCCAACTCCAAACCTAGCACCCTTTCCATTGGATCCTGGCCTCTCCTTACTCTTAGCCACACAAACCTAGACAGTCTCTAAACCAATTTGGGGAGTGTCCTTTTTCTTTTTAATATTGTATGTTTCTTTCTGCATTGAAAAGGTAGTAGAGGGGAAGAGAAAAAGACAGACACAGATAGGGCAAGTCTTTCCACATGGAACACCCCGTGGAGAGATAACAGTAAAATAACTGGAATGAGAAAGACGGAAAGAACTGACAATCCCCAATTACTCCTCACCCCATCCCTTCCCCTCCAGCTCGAACCGGAACACATTTCTAAGATCTCTCTCTCTCTCTCTGTCTCTCTCTGTCTCTCTCTCTCTCTCTCTCTCTCTCTCTCTCTCTCTCTCTCTCTCTCTCTCTCTGTCTCTCTCTGTCTTTGTCTCTCTCTGTCTCTGTATTTGTCTCTCTCTGTCTCTGTCTGTCTCTGTCTCTGTGTCTCTCTGTGTCTCTGTCTCTCTGTGTCTCTGTCTCTGTGTCTCTGTCTCTGTCTCTGTCTCTCTCTGTCTCTCTCTCTCTGTGTCTCTCTCTCTGTGTCTCTCTCTCTCTCTCTCTCTCTCTCTCTCTCTCTCTCTCTCTCTCTCTCTCTCTCTCTCTCTCTCTCTCTCTCTCTCTCTCTCCCTCTCCCTCTCTGTCTCTCCCTCTCTCTCTCTCTCTCCTTTTGCATTTTAGCAGCTTCGACCCCGGGAGTGAAATCCGGGGAGGTTGTTATAGCTACCCAGATCCGCAGGGGTTCCGTCTGTCTATTTAAAGCCCCTTAAATCTTCCTCCCCCTTTAAACACCATCTTCCCCGGGACTCGCGGGCCAACTTGTCTTTAATGAGTATTAAAACCCTATCTCCGCGCAATTAGCTCATTCCAGCCCGGGCGGCTCTGACTGACAGAGACGAGGGAAGCATCCGCGTTTTCCCTGTGGCGATCAGTGCTGATTGGAGCCTTCAAAGGGAGCTCCTGCTACCTTTTTTGTTTTTGTTTTTTTTTTCTCCTTCTTCTTAAATATTTGCCTCTCCGGCTCTTCACTGTCTTGGCTGGGGCGCAAAGAGTTTCCCCCCCCTTTACTTTCTCTCTCTTTCCCTCTCTCTCACACTTGCTCTCTCCTTCTCCACCCCCCCCTCCCCGCCCGCTCCCGAAGGCGCCCGAGGAAAGCGAGTTGGCTCCCTCTTACCTGCTCTAGTCTCTCTCCTACGAGAGTTTAGCTTGGGGAGGGAGGGGGGAGAGGCGGGGAGAGGAGCCGATCGCACACCTCGCTGCCAGGAGGGGGACGCACAGGAGCCAGGAGGGGGCTCCAGGGGAGGGGGGAGGGGGGCGCCTCTCCTCTTTTCCCCCTCTTTCTCTTCTTTTCAACTTTTCCCCGTGTCTGGGGTGAGAGGTCCTGAAGAACCTCGAATTTTTCTATTAAAAAAAAAAATCTAATTGAGAGGAGGGCTTGTTGCTGTTTTTCGTGCTCCTGTGGCGATGGCCCCGTTTGGATATTTCTTTTTTCTCTGCGGGCTGAAGCAGGCGATGGGCAGCTACCCGATCTGGTGGTGAGTGTGGCTTCCCCAACTTCACCTCTTCCCTCCTTCCCTACCCCCCACTCCCTCTCCCCACTGAACACATGCCCCAGTCGCCGCTCCCGAGTTTCGACCCTGTATAAGCATTTACCCGGGCCAGATCCCCCTGAGGTCCGAAGCTCGGCTTGCGGGAGGAGGGGAGGGAATATCTGTATCTTTATTCTGCCCCCCTTCCGCCAGGTCTCCCCACTTTGGGATTGCAGCGAGGGAGTGGAGGTCGAGTTGGACTCAATGATTTTTTTTTTCCCTTTGACCTGTGTACGTTGGTACCGCGACACCCTCTCCCCCTCCACAATCCACACTACTGACCCGGGTAGAACAGGATAGTGAAGGGAGCTTCCGGGGGCTTTGATCTACTCGAGCCAGAGCCTGCTGCCGAATTAAAGAGCTAATGATTCTAGTTGACACTGGCGCTTCAAGGTGATTTCGCTCTACATACGAGAGAGAAAAGCAGGAGAGGAAAGAGCAGGGAGAAGATAGACGAGACAGTCGAGGCTGGAGGGAGTAGGACAGAAGATGAGAGGAAAAGAGAAACGGGGGGGGGGGACCGAACAGAGAAGACAGAAGGAGAAAGGAGAAGAAAGGGGGATAGGAACAGAAAGAGGAAGAGAGGAGAGATGAAATGATGGAGAAGAGAAAGAGGCATATGAGAAGATAAAAGATTTCTTGAAGAAATAGTTTTCTTTTCATACGTTATGTATAGCTTATAGACATACATTACACACACAAACTTTAAAAAAAAAGTTGGTAAGACAAGACCGAACACTTCAGAGGAGAAAAGTTACGTAAAAAGAGAAAGAAAAAAAAACAGGAAAGGGGACCAGAGTGGGTGAGATAGGGGCAGGACCGAGGCTTGTGCAATCTCTCACGGCCCGTCTTTTGCCTGTGTCTCCCCGTGCTAAGGGCCCGAGAAAGGGGTGTTCAGTCTCCCGCTCCGGCGAACTTGCGGGTTCATCGTCTGCACTGCGGGCGCGACTTCTGCTTCCCCCCAGGTTCCTAGTCCGCGATGCCAATGAAGGGGGTCTTTTGGCAGGCTAAGATTGCGCCCCTTAGTCGTGAGAGGCGGTAGTTATAGAGCGTCCGGAGCGGTCGAACTGGGAAAAAGAAGGGTGTCCGGTGGGACTGTCAATCTGGGGACGGAGGATGAGGTGGAGGGCTCGACCTGCACTTTCCTGCTCTCCAGTAATTCCTCTAGCCCCAAGAATTAAAAAGAAATTAAAGCGAAACCTTCTACGAGTTAAAGTTGAAAAAGAGAAGACTGTCCCTTCGAAGTTTCTCTTCCCTAGAACCCTCCCCCTACGGACATATAAGGCAGAAAAAGGTGGGGATTTATTAAAGAGGGAATGGGGCTGGAAGTTACTGATGTTGACCAGAATCTAATCTAACCTCGTCGGAATCCCAAGTTAAAATCCCAACTGCCCTGGGCGCCTATCCGGCGCTATTGACTTACAACTGCGCCTACAGGGTCGGACTCCGGAGGGTGAACCCTGGAGTTTTCACCTACAAAAAGCCCAGGGAGCTAGGGGTGGGAATGGGGAGCACTGAGATCAAGGATAGGGAAAGTCTCCTGATTCCCCTTCTCCGAACTGCCTGTGCCTAAGATTTAGCATAATTATACGGGGGGGGGGGGAGGGAGGAGGCAGAAAGAGAAGAGAGACAGCCGAAGTACATTTAATCCGATAATAATTTTTCTTTCTTTCTGGGTTTTTTTCCCCCTAAGATGGTTCACGGGAGGGGGTGGGGCGAAGCGGGGTGGGGTTGGGGGGAGGAGTGATATAGTTGTTATGGGTGACTCGGGTGCGTCTGCTCTCTCTGACCTGTCCGGCGGTAGCAAGGTCCCGAAATCAGGCAGGGGACTGGTGGGGGTTGAGGGGGAATGAAAGTGACGAATGGGACCAGATACTGGGCGGGGAGGAGTGGGGGTGGGAGAGTCAGGACTTGAGGGAGGGGATGAAAATGACGAATGGGACTAGATATTGGGAGGGGGAGAGAGGAGGGTCAGGACCAGAGGGAAAGTGACGAATGGGACTAGATACCCTGGCAGGGGCGGCAGAGGGCCGCAGGCACTATCTGGGGTCGGGTTGGGGAAAATTTGGAAGAAATTCTCCTAGACGTAAATGAAAGTTAAAGGGGAGTGAGGGAGGGTTCCCCATTCCGGGAGGCTGGAGGTGGGTGTTCAGGGAAAGAGTCTGTCGATTTCCTTGAAAGAAGAAAAAAATCATTCTTTCGGAAGTCCTTGTGCCTCCGGGAGACTTGAGGGATGGAGGGTGGGTGTGAGTGTTAGTGTGTTTGTCGCTGGGTGGGGGGGTGCGGGAGGGGGCAGGGGGTGGATTTTAGCTCATCCTGAGAGCTAAGCGCCCAGGGTTGGGAGTGGGGGGTGAACGCTGGTGGGGTTGCCCCTCTTAAGGAGGCTGCGGGGCTAGGAATGATTTCGTTCTCGGCTGCTCCGGGCGCAGTCCCCTGCTCTGTTTTAGACCAGCAGCCCTGGATAAGAAGTTACTGGGCTTGGGAAGAATTAGATTTAGACGGGGAAGAAGGGCTTTGCCCTGGAAGAGGCCCTTCTCCGACAAGGAGACCGTGTCCGGGCGAGCAGGAGCAGGGCGAGGAAGCACGGAGTGCACCGCCGCCGCCGCCGCCGCCGCCGCCGCCGCCCGGGGAGCGGTGACGCTGGAACGGCGATTAGTAAGTACGGTAATGCACCGCCGAGCAGCGCGATGCTAATTCGCCGTAATTACCCAACGCGGACGCGCACGACACGGGCATACGCACTGCACTGCAGACACACTGAACACCCCCCCACACATACACACACACACATATCCTGAACACCTCCCTCCACCTTGGGGCATAAACACGCACATCGGGAACATACACCGAGAATGCGCAACACACATACACACACATACCATCCAACAGTGGACCCACCCCGTAGCTCCCACTGTCACATGCACAGACACACAGTGACCCGAACATACACACAGACCCCCACACAAACATGCGCAGACATACGTGCAGAGACACGCAGGCCCGGGGCTCTGCAGCACCTGTGGCTTCAGTCGGCCTGGGCTCTTGTTCTCCCACCCCAGGAATGTGATGGTGCGTAGGGTGTGGAAACGTGTGTGGCTCCTGGATTAGAACTCCAGTTAGAAGGCCAACCGGACAGAGCCCCGAACCTAAGCAGGTGTCGCGGGTCTCACTGCGCCCGGGAGGAGGGAGCAGAGCCAGAATTAAGTGCTGGGACGATGGGGAGGAAGGCGGGGGCGGGGGGCCAGGTGAGGTGTCTGTGTAGGAAACTACGTATGTTCAGGAACCTAACTGGTGTGCACTGAAGAGACCAAACGCAGTGGAGTCGGGGTCATTGGCGGGGTCGGGGCGGGGGCAGGACGGGGACCGGAGGACACCTGCAAGTCGGAGAGTGGGGGGTGCAGCGGGGAGGTGTGCCGCCGATGTTTGTTACTTGGAGCCAGATCCCTGCTCCATAACCCTAATTAGAAACCCCGGGGCAGCCGCATTCCTGGGGCGAGAAGGAAGCACGTTCCGCCCCCAAACTACTGATATAAATATCCCTCCTGTCACTGGGGAGCCTATTCCCAACCCCCCACCCTGGTCCCCGGCCTGGCCTCCCCAAGTACACCTCCTCCTCTTCCTTCCTTGGGCAGGCATTTGACTTTAAAATAGTTTTCTTCTGGACAACCTGGGACTAGGTTGATACCAGCAGGACTTGTCTGCCTGGGCCTCCTTTCACCACCACAACCTCCTTCCTCTCGTTTCTATTTTATTTAATTTTCCCTCACAGATAGCCCTAGGAACCCTGGGTCGCAAGGGGTCCCCTGCCTAGTCACTCCAACCTGAGATGTCTGGCAAGTCGAAGGGCCAATGTCAGGCTGCTCTTCTGAGGAATCTTGGAGCTCCGCTTGGGATTTCATAGGTTTTAGAGTTGGGATAGAGATTATCGTGGCCAACCCCCACATTTGACAGATAAGGAAACTGAGGACCATATCTACCAGAGGTCACACAGTACCATAGCTAGATTAGCTCCCAGGTCCTCTAATGCCAAAGAGGATGGTATTGCCACTACCCCAAGAGCTGCTACCTCTTTCTGGTCTCCCATAGCCAATAACATACCCCCATTTTATTCTCCTCTCCACCTCTTCCTCTCCGCCTATTTCCATCTCCAGCATCCTGGTATAGTGGAAAAACAGCAAGCATTTATTAAATATCTTACTGTGTACCAGGCACTGGAGATAGGAACTGGATTTGTGATTTTATTGGTATAAGCAATTTCTGTTGAACAGATTCCCTCTACTAGTATAGGTCAGCGTATTCTTTGCACCTGAATGTTGGAGGGATGCATAGAGCATTGATAGGTTAAGTGACTTGCCTTATGGCCAGTATGAATGGGACTTGAATCCTAAGTATTCCTGGCTACAGTGCAACTAGTTCTCTTATCTATTAAATCTCTCTGGAGATACAAAGACAAGCCAAAAGATATTTCCTGACCTCTTATAGTTTATATTCTGCTGGGTGAGACAGCATGTACATAAAGAAGTAAATATAAAATATAAAAGGCAATTAAAGAGCTCTGAATTTGGAGAAGAAAGACTAGGGTTCAAAGCTACCTAAGATACAAGCTCAGCCATACTTCTGATCCTCAGTTTCGTAATTTGTGAAAACTGGGAATACTCATACTTATATTTAAGGATTTCCTTCCTGAGACAAGTCAGTTAAAATCTTTCCCCTTCAGACATCATATAGCATTTTTTATTATAGGCCTCTAAGCATTCACTATGTAATATGATGTATTATAATTATCAGTGTATCTAATTTCTGCCCCCCAGACTGTGAAGCCGTCTTACCACAGAATTTTCTCTAAATTTCTCTAAATCTTCCCCAGCATCTAGCACAAAGCCATGTACACAATAGACACTTAATAAATGCTTGCTATATGTTGAAGGGAAAATCGAGGGAGGGGA